ATATATATATATATATATATATATATATATATATATAAAATACACAAGCTACAGTGTTTTTATAGTGTAATATAATGACGTCATAATATACTATAAAAACACTCAAGCATACAATGTTTTCACACTCAGATGACTGGGTATCTACTCTCTAACTTTCAAACAAAACCAAATTGCTGGTGCATTGTGCTTTTGTGCATAACAAGATACTCCTTTAACACCTAATTTCCCCCAGCGTTGCCATGGCAACCGTAGCTTATATAGTAGGGAGCTCCTGCGGATGCTTTACCCTTCACTGCATCACCTCCTCAACCAGCTGTTACCAACTCAGTGTCCTCCAACCACCTCACTTTCACTAGTAGATTTACAGTGACAAATTGGCATGATTCTGGCACCAAATAAACAGCTTTACAGCAGCTTACATTAATCATAGCTAGAGATAAATTGTTTGTGCTTGCTGTTTTAGTGGAGAGTTTTGTAGTATTGATGGGGTTTGTAAATTGACATTGTGGCCATGCACACAATTGAGATAATAGTAATATAAGCTTTACTAACCATCCTAATTTATCACATTGCATGGTTGTTACATACTTTTTAACCCCCTAAAACGAAATATGGATCTGTCCTTCCTTTCTTTTAGGACTGTATGACCTAGCTAATATACTACCAAACATTTTATACGCTCAAAACACGGGTCTGTTCAAGCTTTGCTAAACCTGATGAATGGATGGTGTTCTTTGGTGTTTAACCTTTTTCATATTTGAATATGATTAAGAAACTAATTTCAGCTCTTAATTAGAAGCATGCAATTTCAATGGTACATCCTTTTAAGAATGAAAGGCTACACTTGCTGCTTTTTCTGTATACATTTGGGCAAAAATGCACAGGTTGCCAAAAGTGTCTTTAATATTGAGTCTTATTTTCTAGAAACATCCCCAAAGCATGACACTGCTATCACCATGTTTCACCGTAGATACGGTATTAGCCAGGTGTTGAGCCATTTTAGTCACAGTGTTTTCCGGTCAGGCTGAAGAGTTTATCGTTTATTTCAACAGACCAGAGAATCTTTTCCAACAGGATCTTAGTCCATTAACTGCTGTTTGCCTAACTCCACTCATGTTGTTTTATTTATCTTTACTTAAGAGTGAATTCCAGTTAAACGTAATGACTTAATGATTAATGAAACCATATGCTGAGATAGTTTTCCTCCCGGTAGGTCCAGCAGGAGCTCTAACTGCCTATAGAGTGTTTAATTGAGTCCTAGGTCACCTTGTCTACATTAGAAAACATACAGCCATTAGAAAAGTCATTTCCAAAAAGACGCTTTCTTTCCATCTGTGTTCTTTCAAGGTCAAACTCTGTAATTAACATAGAAACTTAACAGAAAAGTATAAAACCACCTGCATTTCCACTAGAGTTATGATGTACAATATGTAAAAATATAGAAATATAATATCTACTTCCAGACAAAACTATAGCAATAAAGTCAAGAAGCCTCCTATTAAGAATATTTGCATGTTTCTACAATTTGACTCTTTTCAGGTTAAACTTCTGTGTTTTGCCCACTAGTGAAATTTGTACTCGTATAAGACAACATATAATTATTGATATCATTTCAAATTTAGTATGGATTAAATTGTGTTTTTACCTCAGCAAATTGTTTGAATTGTTTAAAGGAATAAAAAAAAAAAAAAAAGAATCTGTCATTTACTCATTGCAAACCTGTATTACTTAATTTCTTATGTAAGAAGATATTTTGAGAAATTCTTCAAAATATATTTTTTTCTCCGATAGAAGAAAGAAATCATACAGGTTTGGAATGACATGAGGGTGAGTAAATGACAGTTTTCTGCTTTGGGTGGACTATCACTTTAAGACTAAGCAATGTTACAGCGTGTAATGAATAAATACTAATCAAATAAGGCATTGTTAATGTTAAAGCATAGTGTTTGTGTTAAAACAATTCTCAAAAGTCATGTTTTTGGCTATAAAGTTTAAAATAAGAACCTTGGGGAACATATCTCTGCCTTCATCATGAACACTGTTCCTTGAGGGGGAAAATGTTTTGTAGATGCAGAGAAGTCTTTCATGGGTGTTGATGATTACAGCACAGTACAATACAACAGCATTGTTCCTCTGGATCCACTGTTTGCAGAAAAAGAAACTAGTTTTAGTTTTATTGACTTTTCACCATTATCGCAGGTTCACTAAAGAACACTGAATTATTTTGCTGTTACAAGAATAATAATTTTTAAAAAATCCGCAATCATTTAAAAGTCTGCACATATAAGGAATTGGTGATCTCTGGTATCTCGCCGTTCAACATCTTGGAATTGTCCGCCTATTTGAATTCCTCATCTGGCAATCTGTAAGCTCACACCTGAGGGGGTAGCTAGTATCTGAAACTAGACTTATATAACTTTCTAGCAAAATCAAGACACAATTGAGTTCGTCTTTCCATAAGGGTGCGCAGTCCAAGAGCATCAGAATACCCCATACCTTCGACCGAGTATAATTTTACAGACCCGTTTCTGCACACTTTCCAGTCTTTTGGCTTGACGGTCAAGGAACTATGCCAGACTGGAACCACATACTCCAGCACTGGGCACATGTACCCTTTATAGATGGTAACCAAATCAGGATCACAGACACCAAATTTCTTTAACCGACGGAGGACAAAATGCTTTCTGTTGGCCGAGGACAACATGTGGTCCACTTGACAATCCCGTTTCAAATCACTCTGAATAATGACCCCCAAAACTTTAATGCTGTCACAAATTTCCAAGGTGTTCTGATCAATGGTGAATAAAGGATTTACCAGTTCCCGCCTCGTGCTAGTGACATGCAAAACCTTGCATTTCTTTGGGTTGAGTTTCATTTTATGCTTCTCTACCCAAACGTTAAGATCGTTCAATGTCTTGAGGAGTCTGGGCAATTGTCATGTCATCCACATATTTCCAATGGCCTTTTACATCCTGAAGAGCACTGGTAATCAGAGCTAGAAAGATGATAGGCCCAAGTATAGTTCCTTGTGCAACGCCACATGAGGGATATTGTCAATCAGAAAGACATCCATGATATCTCACCCTGTGGTGTTGGTTGGTCATGAAGCTACAAAGCCATGGAATAAAGCTATGTCTCACTCCAAGATCAAGAAGGCATTGTATTGCTATCGTATGTTCAAGAGCATTGAATGCCTTGGCAAAATCTGTTGTAATTGATGTACACACTGAGCCCGATGCATCACTAGCCTTATATACAAAGTCCATTAGATTAACTAGATTATGAGTTGTAGAATAGTTCTGTCGACTGCCAAACTGCATGGGATCTAAGTTTGAAGAAATATCGTTCAGAATCCATTGGTCAGCAAATTTCTCACAAATTTTTGAATGAAAGATGAGATGTTAAGGAGATTGGTCTCAAGTCCTGAATATTCGAAGGGCAAGATTTTGGTATGGGTACAACAGTAACCTCTTTCCATTTTCCAAGGACAACTCCTTCTTCAAAGGATCTGTTTATGATGTCACAAATTGGATTGCTGATTTCACATGCAAACTCCTTCAATATTCTTGGAGGGATCATGTCTGGACCAGGAGATTTGTAACAATTAACAGAAGACAATCTTGTACACATCCCATACTGAGATAGTAGGTAAAGGGAAAGATTGAGACACTTGGTGTTGATTGCATTAGCAATCAATGCAAAGTCTTTAGGATCAATTCCTGGAACCTCGATTTGGTCCACCTTTTCCTGAGATCTGCACATCGATTTAATTTTACTGTGCCAGACTCTAGGATTCCCTTTTAGCTCACCTTCAATTTTAGATTTATAAAACCACTTTTTTTTTTCATTAATTCCTTTTGAATTTGATTTCTGTAAAGTTTTGTAAGGAAACTGGATGCTCCAGCCTTAAAGGGTTAGTTCACCCAGAAAAGCAGTATGATTAAACAATGATATAACTTTTGTTTTAACAAATAAGCTAAGTTTTGTAGATTTTTAGAACTTTCAAACATAAAACATGATGTGCTAAAGCAAGGATTAGAAGCCGTCAAATAATCCTCTGATGAATGCAAGACGTTTACATAGATTTTTCTTAATGAATTAGCTATATTAGACTGAAAATTAGTTGTCATAAGGTTGTTTGCAACAAAAAGTGTTTCTTATACAAGGTGCTACAACTGTCTCACAGAACCTTTACAACAGATTAGACTTTCTTTCTCACTTTACTTAAAAAGGGTGTTATTAACCATGCTGTTTAAATGCAACATATTTATTTTCCACTATATCACTGTTTTATTTTACTAAAATAAAAATAACTTTCTATATAGGTTTATTTGACTAAGATTTGAACAAATAATTGTTAGAAGAAACAAACAAATATTCGATAAGTCCATCTTATCACCACAAGCTGATGTGTCTGATGGTTTGTGATGACATTAATATCTTACTGATACACATGTGTTAAGATGTTAAGTATGTGTAAAGTTCAATATTACTTTTAAAAATAGTTAAAAATGAATCTTTTTTTAGCTTTCATATAGGATTCACGGTCATACTCAGTTGGATTTTGTGTAACAGAGTCCTGAAACAAATGAAAATAGAATGTATGGAAGACTTTTCTTTTAAGATATTATAATGACAGACTAAAAACTTTAGATTGATTAAACAACTGAGGTTATGCATTTCTCTTGAATATGTATACAGTAAGCAGTGATTACATAAAACATTATTGTATAAATACATAACCTTGTAAATTCAGCACGATTCTATCATATTAATCAATAAAAAAGACTTCATTTATATACCATATCTGACTTTCTCATCAAAACGCGACAAATTTTCTTTTGA